TCAATAATAGATGCATTATCAAAGTCTATTGCGTGACTATTGGCCCAGACGTGATTGGCAATTCTTGAGCCTTTTGCCGCGGTTTTCACATTTCTGAGGTGTTCTTTCTTTCTTGTGTTGAAGGCCCTGCCAGTCTCACCAATATAACACCATGAACAGTCACCACAAGGAATTTTATAAACAACATTTGTTTGCGATTCCAACGATGGTCGAAATTTTGGTTTGCGATTTCCAACGATGGTCGATAATAAACACAAGGCCAGCACAGCAGCAACTCTTCTACACAGAGCCCTAAAGCTACCCAACTCCTCCGAAGGAAAAGAACGAGAACTTAACCGAGTTTATTCAGCACTTGAATCTAATGGTTATCCATCGAATTTCATTAAAAACATCCAGGCCAAAAAAACCCGACGCTCAACAGTGTTGTCCCCGGAGGAACTTGTTGGCACATTTTTCAAGATGGTTGAGGCGTCCGAATCACGCAAGTTGTTCGCCTCTCTTCCATACATTAAAGGCGTAACAGAACCTCTGACTCGTGTCCTCAAAAAACACGACATCACAGTGGTGAACAAACCACTCATCACCCTCCAACAACAGTTCCCGGCTCCAAAATTTCGACCATCGTTGGAATCGCAAACAAATGTTGTTTATAAAATTCCTTGTGGTGACTGTTCATGGTGTTATATTGGTGAGACTGGCAGGGCCTTCAACACAAGAAAGAAAGAACACCTCAGAAATGTGAAAACCGCGGCAAAAGGCTCAAGAATTGCCAATCACGTCTGGGCCAATAGTCACGCAATAGACTTTGATAATGCATCTATTATTGCCAAAGGCGGTTTTAGAACAAGAAAAACACTAGAAGCGTGGCATTCCAAGTTAACTCCCAATGCGGACAACAATTCCTGTCCTTTGCCCGGACAATACAACATTCTTTTTAACAAACATTCTTAGTTATAAGCATTTTTAATTTTTTGCTTTGTACTTCACACCTAGTATTTCTTACCTTTTTATCATTTTACCCGTTGAAGGCTGTAGCGCAAACAGCCGAAAGCTCGTATTTTTTAAAAGTTTTAGCCAGAGATCGTTTTTTAAATTTTACAAGATGTTTTATCCTGGCTGCGGCCCCTCTATCTTTTCACATAGTAATGTTATTTGGCCAACAATATATCGTGGTTAACGGTGTCAAAAGCTTTTTTCAAGTCTAAGAAAATAGCGTCATTGACGTGACCACGATCAATGTTCATTGCCCAACTGCCCGCAGCCTCAAGAAAAGCGGTTACAGTAGAATGTTAAGAACGAAAACCAGATTGGTAACGGGAAAGAATATGATTTTTTGTAAGATGTTAATAGAGTTGATCATAATGATCTTAGCCTTCGAATGCTTTCGCCACGGTGGGGTTTACTTAAATTGGTAGATAATTCGTGGGGTCATGGAGTGCGCAATGGAGTTCCACTCTTAGGGAACAGTTCCAGTTAACAATGATTGATTAAATCTTAGTGTAAGCAGTTCACCGACTAAATCTGAGCCCTCTCTAAGCAGTTTTGCCGAGATGCTGTCTAATCCAGTCGCTTTTGACTTGCAAAGTTAGAAAGGAGAAACAGAACTTGCGTAAAAGCAATTTGTTTGAAGACGCACTCTTTGGAAGTTCAAGAAGGGTATGTCGACATTCGTTATATCTTTAATCAGTCTCGGGCCAATTTCGACAAAATAAGCCTCTAGCATCTCAGCAGCTTCTACTTGATTGCTTAATGTTGTTCTTGCCATTTTTCTTCATTAAGAATTGTTTTGTTGGACCTACGTGATGTTAATTTATTGATAGTTTTCCAGTTCATGCGTTGGTCACTAGCATATTTGTTAAGGGCGTTGTTGTAATAGGCAGCCTTTATTTCCTGATTTAAATTGATTTTTTTTCTACTTTTCGAAATTCGTTCCAAATAGACATGTTCTGGGTTTAGTCATTCTCTTTTTTAGAGTATTTTTTGAAGTTATGATTTGGGTAATGTCGTTAATTAATTGCGTTAACCATAATTGCCAGCAACATTCATAGGAGTTTTTGAAGAAGTGTACACTTGATAGTAAATCAAAATTTATGTCGCCAATTAAGTAATGTTCAAGAATTTTTAGAATCTAATCTTTCTAGCAGAGAGTCGATCCCCAAGAAAAGGTCAACATGAGAATTTGAAGGTCTATCAAAGTAACAAAAAAAGGTTTAGAGTTTGGTTTTAAAATTTCAACCGATAAGACTTCTAAGTATTGACTGTCTAAACCTTGACGTGTTACGTGATTTACGTTAGATCGACTATAGAGGGACACTTCCCCGCCAAGTCTCTCAATAACTACCCTGTCAGTGCCCTGAAATTCTTCGTCTCTCGCTTTGACTTTGTGATGTTTTAGTTCGCATTATCCTAGGTTCCGACTGTTTGTCATTATAGACCTGAAAATGAACACTGAAGCGGTTTTGAAGTTTTATTGACAACTTTATTGGGTGACATATCTAATGTTATGTAATTACATTCATACGAAACAAATAAAATCAAATATAATGTATATATTGTAAAAGCTCGCATCAGTTCAAATTGATCTGTTCTAGATTATTTTAGGTTACTTACTTATCAAAGTAAAGAACAATTGAGTTCCAGGATATAAAACTCTAAGAACAGCAATATTAAGAAAGGATATTTTCCCCGACTGAGAATATAAAACTTCCTCAGATCTAAAATTAGCTTCTCGCTACAATCGTTCGTGTACCTAGCTTAAAGTGTTCTTCTAGATTATTTTAGGTTACCTACTTATCAAAGTAAAGAACAATTGAGTTCCAGGATATAAAACTCTAGGAACAGCAATATTAAGAAAGGATATTTTCCCCAACTGAGAATATAAAACTTCCTCAGATCTAAAATTAGCTTCTCGCTACAATCGTTCGTGTACCTAGCTTAAAGTGTTCTTCTAGATTATTTTAGGTTACCTACTTATCAAAGTAAAGAAAAATTGAGTTCCAGGATATAAAACTCTAAGAACAGCAATATTAAGAAAGGATATTTTCCCCGACTGAGAATATAAAACTTCCTCAGATCTAAAATTAGCTTCTCGCTACAATCGTTCATGTACCTAGCTTAAAGTGTTCTTCTAGATTATTTTAGGTTACCTACTTATCAAAATAAAGAACAATTGAGTTCCAGGATATAAAACTCTAAGAACAGCAATATCAAAAAGGGACATTTTCCCCGACCGAGAATATAAAACTTCCTCAGATCTAAAATTAGCTTCTCGCTACAATTGTTTAACTACACGTAATAATGAAACAAACTAGGTTTTTCGGTTTTCTCAAAACTTAACTGAGGACCAATTATTATTTGTCACGAGGGGAGGGGGGTCATATGGTTTTTGGGGGAACCAAGGGGGATTCAGTTGTCGTCAACAGAGTTTGAGGGGGGAGGGGATAGAAAATAGACTGCCAATCCAAGGGGGGGAGGGGTCAAAAGAGTATTACAGAACCCTATGGGGATCAGGTAACGGGACACGACCAAAAACCTTCAACCCACCCCTTGGCGATAAATAATGACTGTTGTCTAACTTTAGGATAATTTAGTCAACTGAGTCGATAATATAAATTGGCCACCGTAAAGGATTTCTAAAGCTGTTGTTTTGGGCATCTAACAAAGGGCTAACGCTCGAAACGTCAGCTGTAGAAACTCTTTAGGTAGAAAAGTTGTATCATCAACTCAGTTCATAGAACGAAACTATCTTATAATACCCCCCTTGATTTAAGAGCAAATTATTAGTAATGGAAACCTATGCTATTTTCAACATTTCTACGATTATGCACCTTAACACTGACGTGGCTATGCTGCATTTTTGGAGGTTTTCGTGACTACCCGATCCGTATACGGTTGCAATTGAAATCCTCATGAGTGACCAAAACTAATGATATATGAACAGTGTAGAGTGCAACTTTGTGACACCATTTTGAAAATTGCAAATACAGGATTTTAGTCTCTAAAATATTTTATCACAATGTACATTTTACTTCATCACTTGGAAGGTGGTATTTCAAGCAGCGATGCCTAGTATAAACTTTAAGAAAGCCTCCCTTTATCGTTTTATCGCGCGGTTATTACTTACTATGTTCGACTAATTACCACAGTGTCTACACCTTACTGAGCGAGTTAGTGGGTCACTCATTTGTAAATCGGAGTCCCCATAAAGCTCGTTTTCACGAGTTAAAAATGAAGAATTCCGAGAGGAATGTGTGTGCTCCATTTTGATACTGAGTTTAGAGCAAAAAGAAAAATATTCTAATTTTTACTCACAGGTGTGTATGGTCACTTGTGCGGTCTTTGAGGAATTACTTGGTTGGACTTGATGATTCGATGAATCACTGGATGAAGGTTGGCTTTGCTCTCTGTTCTCTTCGTCTGAGTCGTGGTCACTGAGAGGATACGGTTCACCAACTGGATCTGGTGGCGGAAGAGGTTGTAGAGGAACCCTATCTGGATCTGGGTTCGGTCTACCAACTTGAACAAATTGTTGAATAAAAAAAAATTCCGCTGGTTCTGGGTACGGTTCACCAACTGGCCCAACAGGGTTTCCCCTCCTCTCTGGTTCTTGGCCCGCAAGTTTCTTCCATGACAACCACGAGGTAAGAGAAGCAAGAGCGGTCAACAGCGCGGTCTTTAATATATCACCTGCGGTTTCTCTTGCATTAAACGCTTGTCCAGCAATAATTGCAACAAGTATTAGAAACGTGAGACCCAGAAAACTAAGGATCCACATTCTTTGTAAATATGAGTGCATACCTACGGCAAATTCAAATTGCCTAACTCCTACGTAGCTGTCGACTACATAAATGAAAAAAGTAACAACAAGACATATTGCTAGTGCAACTGTCAAACCCCAAATTGGGTTAAGCATTATGCCGATGAGCATCCAACAGAAGCAGAAACTGATAAAAACAACACTCACAGGGGCAAGTAGGTTCTTAAACCACATAAAGCCACTTCTCCTCTGAGCTGGATCAGGGCTATTATAATTATTCCAGATGTCCCTCACTCTTTTTGAGAGGGGAGTAATAAAATACAAAAAGGGAATCAAAATAAGTAAGATATCCACGTAGAAAACTGGTCCGTCTCTCACCATGAAATAAATTACAGAAGATAAAAGTATCACCCAGATTAATGAACCAAGTATTCCCGCTAAAAAACTTAAACATAGCGCAGCCTTATATGCAGAGCTTTTTGACAGATTTAAAAGAAACACAAATCCTATCGTCATCTGAAGGAGTGGACTGAAAACTGCACAGGTGAAGCAGAAAGAACCCCATATCATTATTCTGATTTCGAGACTGCGTCCAGTAGCTTGTATATCTGTACCATGGCCCTCGATAACACACTCTGCATTGTTCAGTTCTGGATTCCTTATACCTGGTGAAGTGGCCAGATCTTGAAGCTGAAATGAGCACCAACAAAGATTCACCAAATAATTCATCTAATATGGCAGCCTCAGTAACCTAGCCGCTTGTCTGCAACCTACAAGGTACCAAGTTTTACTTCTCTATTTTCAAACTCTTGGCGAGATTACGAGCTACAATGATAGGTATTCATAACCCTTGTAAGGGTTTCATTAACGATATTGAATTATTTAGTATCAATCCAATACTTCTTCTAACGGAGAGAAGTGCGAGTCGCGATTGCTTTTGTCGCACAGAGCATTGCTTCTAATAAAGGCTTATTCTCAGAGATTACAAATACTCATTTCAGCTTGGGTTAAGCAGTTTTGAGTCAGGTTTTCTTCGAGATGAAAAAAAAAAAAAAAAAAAAAGGAAAAAAAATCATTGTAAATACCGCAGCGAGAACATCTCCAATCATATCGTCTATCGTCTTCCCTCTTTCATCCTCTGTTTTCGACACATTGCAACAGAATTGTGGAATTGTTAAGTTCAATTCTTTTGTCCGATGTCTGACGAGAATTGATCCGAGTGACACAATTTCCAGGAAGACATCAGGAACAGCAACATATAGACAAGATAAGCTCCAAGTATACCTTGAGATGGGTGAACCTGTTTTGTTTGGACCATGTAAATTCACAAACACACGAACAGAAGAGGGTTTCTTGGCTGGATACAAGGCAGATTCAATGTTAAAACTATTGTCTGACTTTGTTAAGCTGTGGTAGAGCTGCTCATATGTATGGATGCATGAGAGAGAACTGATGGAGTTGTCGCAAGTGTCACTAAATTCTGCTTGAACGCTTTGTTGATTGAAGATCAGCACCACTTGAATAAGAGTAGTCACAACAGCCTTGATCCACGGATTGGACATGTCAGAATATCAAGCTGCCTCGTTTGAAGAAGTCGATAAGTATTTTCTAAAACAAAATAAAGTATTTCATATCTTTAGTAAAATAATGCTAACAGACAACTTTTCCAGCCGGTGGCAGGAGACTCTTGACCAAAGATTTTTTTAGCGCTGCATTCTTTAGGTTTTCTATTGAGTTACTCGGCTTTCCAGTACACAATTCCACTTACACCCAAGCTGATTTCATCCTTTGTAACTCTGGTTAATCTCTCAGACTCTCAAACTTGATTCTCACTGGATAATTCTCCTTCAACTCCGGAATTCTGACTCTACTCTACTGCACACCGTCTACATTCTTCTAGTCTTCTCTTCTCTGTATTTTCTATATTCTTTTTTCCCTTTTCTCCCCACTTTCTTCTAAGTAAACTCTAAAGAACATGCTTTTATATTCACTTCTGACAGGTATGGGTGGGTATGCCGGCTGGCTGACTTTGGGAGATCAAACATTTGTTGTTAGAGCGCTAAACCAAGCACTTTCGATCTGAACAACAAAGTAATTAATCATAATGCCTCCGATGAACTGATTTAACCTCTGATTGCATTAGTCAAAACAATAACTTTCGTGTGGGTCCAAAGCAAGGTCAGTTGACAAATTAAGCATGTCCACTCGAGGGAGTTAGAAAGGCTGTATCAATTCGGAAACTCATAACGACAGCTCAAACCTAAATAACTTCAGAATAAGAATTCATACTTTAAATACTTTAAAAAAAAAACCAAAATTTTTTGAAACATGCTGAACTGACTATAATTATCGCTGTTTGTGGATTCTCGAAGCGTCGTTGCTATGCAATTGATGCTTTCTCCGTACCAAGTTTATTATTAATTTAAATATCACTCTATTGTGTGCGATCGAGTTCGATCAATAACCACAAGCGGCCCAAGCTGTGAGATGATCATCTTACGAATAAAGAGTCCTAAAAATGGCTTTTTCTTATCTGCATTTTTTCTTATGTAAGTTTTCGTAAGTATTTTGTATGTGAATATTTACAACCGCTCTTAAGAATGAGAAATACGGTCAAATTCTCAATAAAAAATACCTCACCTTACTTCCACACTGCATCGCTTCCTATCTGACCGCTTACTATGTTGAAAAGAACCCATTTTGGCGAGTTATCCATTTCTAGGTTTACTACGCACATAAGAAAAGCCCTTAAGAGAGCTTTTTCTCATGTACGTTTTCTTATGTATTTTCTTAGAAACTCAGTTTACCTTCGTCTAGATCTTGTCGATGTGTTGCTCCCGATACTTCAAATTTAGCACAGTCCTTTCTTATTGGCTGATCATTCAATTATCAGAAACTAAAGGTAGTCTGAAATCGCGGAATTAGCCTCCAAAGTGAATTCACGATGTGCCTACGCTACGCTTAGTAGGACGACTTCACGCTGTTTGTGGATTCTCGAAGCGTCGTTGCCAAGCAATTGATGCGTTCTACGTACCAAGTTTATTATTAATTTAATTATCACTCTATTGTGTTCTGTCGAGTTCGATCAATAACCACAGGCGGTCCAAGCTCCAGCTGTGAGATGATCATCTCGCGAATTAAAAGTCCTTAAAAGGGCTCTTTCTTATCTACGTTTTTTCTTATATACGTTTTTTTATGTATTTTTTTTAGAAAACAAGTTTACCTTCGCCTAGATCTTGTAAATGCGTCGCTCCCGATACTTCAAATTTAGCACAGTTCTTTTTTTTATTGGGTGATCATTCAGACAATTACCATAAACTAAAGGCAGTCTGAAATCGCAGAATTAGCCTCCAAAGTAAACTCACGATGTGCCTACGCTACGCTCAGTATGACGACTTCACGCTCTTTGTGGTTTCTTGGAGCGTCGTTGCCATGCAACTGATGCTTTCTCTGTACCAAGGTTATTATTAATTTAACTTTCACTCCCGCTTTTCATTTTCTACCAGAGGACTGATTTGTGAAGCCATTCGACTTTATTCGTTTACAGAACACAATAAAACTCAGAGCAGAATGAGTTCTAGTGTGTTTGATCGAGTTCGATCAATAACAATTATATTATTCTTGAAATACTAGACTATGATGAAACCCCAACCAACTCACCATGTAATTTTGGTTTTTGCGGTGTACGGACCTTTGAAACAAAGCTTACTTACTCCTAGATCTTGTCAATGTGTCGCTTTGTATGAGAATAGTTTACCACTGCTCTTAGGAATTAAAAACACTGTCAAATTCTCTATAAAAATACCTCACCTTACTTCCACAGTGCATCGCTTCCTATCTGACCGCTTACTATGTTGAAAATAACCCATTTTGGCGAGCTATCCATTTCTAGGTTTACTAACTACATAAGAAAAAGCCCTTAAAAGGGCTTTTTCTTATGTACGTATTTTTCTTATGTAAAGCATTTACTTAGAAACTCAGTTTACCTTCGTCTAGATCTTGTCAATGTGTTGCTCCCGATACTTCAAATTTAGCTCAGTCCTTTCTTATTGGCTGATCATTCAATTATCAGAAACTAAAGGCAGTCTGAAATCGCGGAATTAGCCTCCAAAGTGAATCCACGATGGGCGTACGCTACGCTTAGTAAGACGACTTCACGCTGTTTGTGGATTCTCGAAGCGTCGTTGCCAAGCAATTGATGCGTTCTACGTACCAAGTTTATTATTAATTTAACTATCACTCTATTGTGTTCTGTCGAGTTCGATCAATGACCACAGGCGGTCCAAGCTCCAGCTGTGACATGATCATCTCACGAATTAAGAGTCCTTAAAAGGGCTTTTCTTATCTACGTTTTTTCTTATATACGTTTTTTTTATGTATTTTTTTAGAAAACAAGTTTACCTTCGCCTAGATCTTGTAAATGCGTCGCTCCTGATACTTCAAATTTAGCACAGTCCTTTTTTTATTGAGTGATCATTCAGACAATTACCATAAACTAAAGGCAGTCTGAAATCGCGGAACTAGCCTCCAAAGTAAACTCACAATGTGCCTACGCTACACTCAGTATGATGACTTCACGCTCTTCGTGGATTCTCGAAGCGTCGTTGCCAAGCAACTGATACGTTCTACGTACCAAGTTTATTATTAATTTAACTATCACTCTATTGTGTTCTGTCGAGTTCGATCAATGACCACAGGCGGTCCAAGCTCCAGCTGTGAGATGATCATCTCACGAATTAAGAGTCCTTAAAAGGGCTCTTTCTTATCTGCGTTTTTTCTTATATACGTTTTTTTTATTTATTTTTTTTTAGAAAACAAGTTTACCTTCGCCTAGATCTTGTAAATGCGTCGCTCCCGATACTTCAAATTTAGCACAGTTCTTTTTTTTATTGAGTGATCATTCAGACAATTACCATAAACTAAAGGCAGTCTGAAATCGCAGAATTAGCCTCCAAAGTAAACTCACGATGTGTCTACGCTACGCTTAGTATGACGACTTCACGCTCTTTGCGGATTCTCGAAGCGTCGTTGCCAAACAACTGGTGCGGTCTACGTACCAAGTTTATTATTAAGTTAACCATCACTGTATTGCGTTCGATCGAGTTCGATCAATAACCACAGGCGGCCCAAGCTCCAGCTGTGAGATGATCATCTTGCGAATAAAGAGTCCTTAAAAGATCTTTTTCTCATCTACGTTTTTTTTCTTATGCATGTTTTCTTATGTATTTTTTTTAGAAAACAAGTTTACCTTCGTCTAGATCTTGTAAATGCGTCGCTCCCGATACTTCAAATTTAGCACAGTTCTTTTCTTTATTGGGTGATCATTCACACAATAAAACGCAGAGCAGAATGAGTTCTAGTGTGTTCGATCGATTTCGATCAATAACAATAATATTATTCTTGAAATACTAGACCATGATGAAACCCCAACCAACTCACCATGTAATTTTGGTTTTTGCGGTATACGGACCTTTGAAACAAAGTTTACTTCCGCCCAGATCTTGTCAATGTGTCGCTTTGTATGAGATTAGTTTACCACTGCTCTTAGGAATTAAAAACACTGTCAAATTCTCTATAAAAATACCTCACCTTACTTCCACAGTGCATCGCTTCCTATCTGACCGCTTACTATGTTGAAAATAACCCATTTTGGCGAGCTATCCATTTCTAGGTTTACTAACTACATAAGAAAAAGCCCTTAAAAGGGCTTTTTCTTATGTACGTATTTTTCTTATGTAAAGTATTTTCTTAGAAACTCAGTTTACCTTCGTCTAGATCTTGTCAATGTGTTGCTCCCGATACTTCAAATTTAGCTCAGTCCTTTCTTATTGGCTGATCATTCAATTATCAGAAACTAAAGGCAGTCTGAAATCGCGGAATTAGCCTCCAAAGTGAATTCACGATATGCTTACGCGGCCCAAGCTGTGAGATGATCATCTTACGAATTAAGAGTCCTTAAAAGGGCTTTTTCCTCCGCTTTCTCCTTTGCCTAGATTTTTTATTTATACCAGGAATTTAAAAGAAAAGCTATATTACAATGACAAATAGAGAAGTGCTTTCTTCCCTAAGTCACAGATTTTCCCACGAAGCCTCTTTTTTTTCTGATTTAACTAGCCAATTGAAACAGACACACTAAATCAAAGCCCAAAATCTTATCCTTTTTCTACCAGGATTGTCTCTAAATGTACTTTGTAGTGTTCGTAGAAAGTGATTTAGGAGCCGTTTTGTAAAGTACTTCAAGTAATTATAAGTAAGCAAGTGAGCTTAATTAGCGAATTGTGAGTTTTGTATTTTAATGTACTGTAAGTCATGTTCTGTTTAATGATGTAATGTAAGTAACATTACGCTGTAAGTGACTATTGGTAAGTGACTGTTAGTATAAGTAAGAAATAAGTACTGGTAACTAATCCATTAAGTACAGTAATGTAATAAGTGGAGTGATGTCGAGTAATGTAAGTAGAGTAATGTAATGTAAGTTTAGTTCTGTACAAATATTTCTTCAATAAATGTTTATTAAATTTAAAAAAAAGAAAAAAAATCCGTATCCAATTGTTTCGTAGAC